AAAATCAGGTCAATAATCAGAAGATTATAAACACAATAAGTTAAAATTGAAACTCCATAGTGAAAGGGAGACTAATATTCAGAGGTATAAACGAACCTTGGCGAATTTCCCTGAAGCCGATACCACCAAAACGTAGGAGGAAAAGGGATCATCAATTGTGAGTAATAGCAAAACCCACGAACCGTATTCATATAACCAACAACAGATATCGCTTATCGCGGAACGAAAGGCGTTGCTTGAAGTCCAAGCACGAGCACGAGCTGGCAAGTAGCTTTGGGGGAAACGTCGACGCCCTTAAGGAAAACCCACGGTGAAGTCTTCTGCCTCAGCGTGAGGCGGAGATATATAGTAGGGTTTTAAACTAAATTCCTAATTCAAAGGGATATTAAATGTTTTCAATATTTACTAAAAATAAAATGGTTCAAGTTTACTATTATACCCCTTAAACAATTTATTAATTATTTAATATTTCTTAAAAATTGATTGGCCCACATTTATGCATACAATAACACAATAAATACATTAAACACCTGAACCTATATATATATATATATATATATATATATATATATATATATATATATGGGATTGAAATCCCTATATACTCACCAGGTTTTCCAACTTGACCCACTCAGTTTATTTGTATCACAGGTGTCGATACGAAGCTACATTACACTGAGAGATTAAAGGAGATGTAGATCACTAGTGTAAATGAATGTAAGGTCTGTTTATGCTTATGTTTCTGTATTGACGATGACAACCCAAAGTTTTAATATAAACAAAATACATTTCTTCGGAAATGCTTTGATAATATGTTTATCATGTTTTTCTGGAAATAAATTCCGCAATATTATTCTTTAAAAATGACTACTCTAATTTTCAAATAAGCATAAATAAAACTTTTAAAATGATCGTGAATTTGGGGATGTCACATAATGCTCAAGGTAATCTGAAATCTCATTCCTTGTGCAATCCCTTAGTCCAAGCGGTTCTCCCCCACTTGGAGTCAACTGCGCTCTTCCAACCACAAAATTGATAGATTTCCAGTATATCTCGTAACCTGACTAGAAAAGACATAACAAAGAACAATACTTGTATCCCCGATTAGAAAAGACATAACAAAGAGCAAAAAAACGTGTCTCGAACGAAAAAACACGCACCATAACACACCATAACGCTTCCATAACACGTTATAATGCGCCATGGTATGCCATTTCACGCATTGCCACGCGTCACGCCTAATAGCAACGTTGAGGCTTTTCGTAACGGCGAAGCCACGCCTCACGCCATGGCACGCCTTGGCGCGCGCCATGACGCACATTTTAGAACACTGGGTTGGGCCCTTTTGTATGTGATGTGGTATTTTGGGGAACTCACTAAGCTTTGTGTCTACGATTTGTGGTTTAAACATTTTCAGATACTTCCAGTTCCAAAGGGAAGAGCACGACATGATCACACAGCATCCCCTTGATTTTATTCTGCAATGTTATTTGGATTCACTCTGATGTTGAGAATATTTATACTATAATTGGTTTGGAACAATTAATTGTATTTGTCGGGTGTTTGAAAAATAAAAGTTTTACTACTATTTTTGGGGCGTTACATTAACTATTAATTTATGAGATTGAGGGTTCAAGTCTCGATGTGGACACATGTGAAACAATTTAAAAGTAGTTTATAGTATATTTACAGTTTCAAAAAAAATCTATTAATCGATCTATCTAAATCTACTCTAATAAATGAAAATTTTTTTGTCACATGTCACACTCTCATTGATTTGACCACATATCATTTTGTGGTTATTTTCAATTAAATTTTTTCCACATGCATTTTGTGATTTTTTTTATTTTATCAAATTCCACATAATATTTAAATGTAATAATTATAATAAATGTAATAATAAATGCATATCAATTTTATTATTGATTTTCCTTTTAATTTTAAATTTGTAAATTAAAACCACATTAGTTTCTTTTATTTATTTATCTAAATTATTTGTTTGAATTTAAAAAAAAACACACATTAATTTTAATAATTCAAAATTTTTCTAATTTTCTTATAAATTCAAACTTTTAAATGTTTAGAATTTTATATTTAATTTTTCTTTTAAATAAACTCATATAATACATGGGTTTACCTAATTATCTAATTAATCTACATTATACTCATTTATCTTATAAGAGTTTTGGCTTTCGACGCATCAATATTTTATTATATTTTCAGTTTGATGAAACAACCAAAATATTTAATTAAAAAACACGTGCACTTAGTTTCTTATTAAATATTCTTGCCATAATGATTGATTGCTCTCATTGTCTCCCACAACTTTGTGGACCACATATGATTTAACGTCAACGAATTATTCAGTAAAATATAGAAAATGTGAATAAGAAACAAACCGCTGCAAAAAATAAACTTACTTTGAAATGTGAATGAGAATTTCGACCAAGTTGGTTAAAAAAGTAATGTTTATTTATCTCTAATAGATTATAAAAATAGGAAAATGTGAATAAGAAGTTGGTAATGTATTTGTGACCAAGTTAATAGGATCGGGTTGCGGGTGATTTTTTAAAATTAGAAAACCCGACTAACCCAAAACCCAATCGGGTTGTCACAAATACATTATCAGCTTCGATGGTTAATAAAGGGTTATCTTGTATGAACTCACATTCACGCTCATATAGGCATATGAATTATATACTGTTGGCAAACACATGTAAACATAATGACATAAAAGCATTAGGGTAAATTACACCAACTGTTTCTTGTGTATATTCCAAAATGCACGTTTAGTCCTTATTTTCAAAAATTAACTTGGGCCGTCTCTTGTTTGTTTAAAACTTGCACGTTTCATCCATCGTTGCTTTAAATTTGCACACTTAATCCTTTACCAGATTTAAAATGACTATACTACCTTCACTATTTTGTTTTTATTTATTTAGAATTCATTTTATATTAAAAAAAATTACAGCCATATACTATCTTCCCCCTTTCCCTTTTTTCCTTTCAAATCAGTTGAAAGGATAAAACATCCTCACCGCCACCATCGGTCCACCACCACCGTTAGTGACCACCGACTCAACTCTTAAGCAGATGTCACTACTTCACCCCCAACTATCTACTATGTTTCTCATTTCTCTATCAGCGACCACCACCGATCTGAGGTTCCTCGATAGAAGATGATTTCTGGCTAGGGTTTCTTGCGAGAGTGCAGATCTAAAACCTCTGATTGCAGTTCCAGCAACGATGGTCTCTCCATCTCTCTTGCACCAAAAAAAGATCGAAAGAGGAAATTGATCTGAGGTTCCTCAACAGCAATAGGTTAAGCACCAAACCAAACCAATATAAAAAAGAAACTGAAATTGGTTCCAAAAATCGAAATCAAAAAAGGTTCCAGAAGTTGAAGTCGAAATTAGAATCATACAGATTGTGGTGGTGGTCGTCGTCATACAACCTCTTTGTCGGATATGGACTCAGGTTTGGAGAACGTTGAGTGGTCGACGAGTTTCAAAGACCATGGACGTTAACTGAAGAGTACAAATCGAAAATGTTTGTTGGTTTGAGATGAAAGGATCGCCGGTGAGAAGCCATTGTAGTCGGAGATTTAAAGAGGGATGTATTGATTTCTTTGTTTAACGTCTTGAAGAGGGTTTGGACTTTGGAGTCGGTGGATCTAATTTCAACAACTTGAAGAGGGTTTGGACTTTGGTCTCTCACTAGAGAAAGGAGGAGCAGCGTCGGAGAAAGTAGGAAATTGGGGGAGGGGAAGGGGTGGGATATTAATTTTTTTTTCTTTTTTTCTTAAAATCCAAAAACTAATAAATAAGTAACAGAAAACAAAAAAAAAAATTGTTAAGGGCAAAATAGTCTTTTATGTCCGGAGGGACTAAGCATACAAGAAAAAACAAACCCAGAAACGGTCCGGATTAATTTTTAAAAGTAAAGATTAAATGTGTGTTTTAGTACAAGCACGAGATGAACAGTGCTGCTTGTCCCTTGATAGTTAATAGCAAACAAATGGTTGCTACTTGTCCCTTCCTTGCCCAATGACCATTCCTTTATATGAAATTGGTCAAAGTTATACCAGTCTCATATTTGACATATAGAATATTAGAAGTGTTCGTAAAAAATAGTTACAGGATTTTATACTTAAACTAGCTGTTAATTCCAGTTTTGGTGTATTGTAATATGCTGAATTTAATTAATGATGTTATTAAATATATTTAATTTCATAAATATTAAATATACTTAAAAAAATAACAAATTAGATGAGAGCTTAAGAAAGATAAGAGAGTAAATTTGTTGGACAAGGTTTTAAGTTAATTTTTGCCGAAAACTTTTAACATGTTTTTCCATTTTGTAATGTGTCGACGTAGTTTCTGATCAATACCCAAGTTTGGTTGCTTTGATTAATTTATACTTTGATCATGTTTGAACACCCGCGTTTTCTTGACACTTGACTAATTCAAGTTTCATCACAATGTTGAATTCTTTTTGACATCTATCATTGCATTAAGCTTTTCTTTTACAAGTTCCTAATGTTCCCATTAAGGTTATAACTTAGAAAAAGTCTTCCAACCTTCATTTTTTTCTTACTTAGTTACTTACACATTACACTTGAAAGTCTCTACCAATAATAGCAATGAGCCTTATTTTGTATTTGGGTGTTAACATCCAACTTTCATTTATTCTTATTCTATACTTTGAACAATATATCTAATTATAACAATGTCATCAATATTTCCATGATTTGCATAAAAATGAAAGATCACAAGTAGAAATTCAAAACTAAAATGAAAAGGTTGAGGATTTCCGACTATCAAAATAGCAAAAAGGCTGAAAAACACATTTTGCAATCAGATATACAATACAAAATGAGACTAACAATAAAAAAAGACAAAGCAACTACATCACTACACTACATAGTTCATTATTTAAAAAAAAAAAACAGCTTCTACAAACTACAACAAGAAAAGGATAAAACTTACTTGATTTGATCACTAAACAGCTTTAACCTTTTCTTCATTCACAACAGAAAGTATTGGCAAACTGCTTAAAAACTCATCAAGTCCTTCAAAGAATCCATTCCCTTCAACATTATTATCCTCTCCTTGCCCATGTCCATGCCCTTCATTATTGTTGAATTCCACATTCAAATCCAACTTCCCCAATTCCTTTCCAACCCTTCCCGATTCCCTTCTTGGATTCCCACTCTCTTGAACTCCCATCCCATTTCCAAGATTCTTCAAGATTTCATTTTTAGCATCCCGTGCACTAATACCAACATCTCGCACCCTGTTTTCGAATTCCAATTTCAGATCTTTCTTCATCTTTTTCCTGGCATTGGAATCGGAATCGGAACCAGAACCGGAACCGGAACCGGAATCGGAACTTTGTTTAGAGACTTCCATGAACACATCATCTGTAATATCATCAATAGCATCAAGGTGGATACGCGGCCCCGAACTTTTGTTAACAAAAGTATTCTCCTTCGGGGCCGCTTTACCATTTAAATGGTTCTGTTTTTGGTTTTGGTTTTGGTTTTGGTTTTGGTTTTGGATTTGGATATTAGTTGAGGGATTATACATAGGTGAAAAGGGTGTCCAAGTCTTTTTGTTACTTTGGGTGTTGTTTTTATCAAGATGTGACATGGAAACACCTAATGGGAAGTAACCCCAACAACAGAAATATGCTTCTTGGCCTTCTGTTATGGGTGGTGGGTGGGGGATACGTACAGCTTGAAATGCCCTTTGACAGTGGTCACAACGGAGGGTACATTCGGCATAAACTTTTGGGTATTCATACATGTAGTAACAGAAAGGACATGAAGTCCAAAAGGTGGGGGAATTGTCTACAGTTTCATCAGGTTCTTCTTCAGCTTCTGTTTCTATTTCTTCTTCCATTACACCATTGTCACTGTTGACTTGAGCAGGAAGCTCCATAGGAGCAGCTTTATGTACTTGAGACTCTTGCTCTTGTTGTTGGGGTGGGGGTGGGGGTTGGAGCTGTTCTTGCTTCTGCTGGAGTTGTTGCTGTGGTTGGGGCTGCAAATGCTGTTGATGTTGCTGCACTTGTGGCTCTGGAGGTGGCTGAGGCCGGGGTTGGGGTGGTGGTGGTTGTGATTGGGGACGGGATTGGACTGGTGGAGGCGGTGATTGGGTCTGGGGAAGGGATTGGGGAGGGGGCGGCTGTGGCTGTGGCTGTGGCTTAGGCTGAGGCTGAGGTATAGGTTGAGGTTGAGGCCGTGATTGAGGAGGGGGCGGCTGAGGTTGTGGCTGTGGCTGTGAAGGGGGAGGCTGCTGCTGCTGTGGTGGTGCTTGTGTCCAAGAAAAAGGGGGTTGTGGTGCTGCTGCAGGCGGAGGGGGACTTGGTGATTGCATACGTGGCTGTGGCTGTGGCTGTGGCTGAGGAGGTTGTGATGGTTGTCGGATTTGCTGATGCTGATGCTGATGCGGTGATGTAACTTGAAAAGGTTGTACCTGTGGCTGAGGAAGCTGAGGCTGAGGCTGTTGTGGTTGTCTAGTTTGGTGATGTGGTGGAGATGTAATTTGAAAAGGTTGTACCTGCGGCTGAGGAGGTTGTTGTGGTTGTCGAGTTTGCTGGTGTGGCGGAGATGTGACTTGAAAAGGTTGTACCTGTGGTGGAGGAGGTTGTGATGGTTGTCGAGTTTGCTGCCGGGGTGGAGATGCAACTTGAAAAGGTTGTACCTGTGGCGGAGGAGGAGGTTGTGATGGCTGTCGAGTTTGCTGCCGGGGTGGAGATGCAACTTGAAAAGGTTGTGCTTGAGACTGAAACAGTTGTTCTTGCTCCCGGTGGTGAAACAGTTGCTCCTGCTCACGTTTAGGAGGTTGTAGTTGCTGTCTACTTTGCTGATGTGGTGGAGATGTAACTTGAAAAGGCTGTACCTGAGGCGGAGGAGGTTGTGGTTGTTGTCTAGCTTGCTGATGCGGCGGAGATGACACTTGAAAAGGTTGTGCTTGAGGCTGAAACAGATGTTCCTGTTCACGATGCTGAAATAGTTGCTCTTGCCTTACCGGACTCGGTTGTGACAGAAAATTATGCTGCTGCAATTGCTGCTGTTGATGACTCTGTTGAACCCTAGTTTGAAATGTCTGTTGTGGCTCCGGCAAATCCTGCTCATGACTCGACCCCATGTGATTAATCGAAAAAAAATTATGCTGCTGATGACTCTGCTGCTGTTGCTGGTGGTGATGCTGTTGTTGGTGGTGGTGCTGTTGTTCGAGGTTAAACCCTATAGTATTCATCTGTTGTTGCGGCGGAAAATCAAGCTCCGAATCATACATAGATTTCCGCATAGGGTTCGACAACACAGCCCAAGCATCATTCACAAGCTGAAAAGCTTGATCGGAGTAAGGAAACCTGTTTTGGTGAGGATTTAGTATAACGGCAAGCCGCCGGAACTGCGAGGCGATGTGGTCTGTATCCTGAACAAACCTGACGAGCTGGAGAATCGCGTAGTAATCCGGCTGCTGAGCGCCGTTGTTTCCGACGACTCGTTTTTCGGCGGCGAGGAGCGTATCGGCAATTGCTAGGATCTGTTCAGCAGCTTCGAGTCTGGGATCGGAATCTCGTGCTCGGATCGCAAATGTCTTGGAGCCGACGAGGTCATGGCCCATGAGCAGCTTCTCGGCGATGCCGAGCCATCGTTGCGCTTCCGCCCGTGCTATGAAGCTATGGGGGTCCATAACCGTTTCTCTTTCTCTCTACAAATCAAACCACAATCGGAAAGTAGCCATGGCGGCCGTGGAGAGTGGTCGGGAGTGGTGGAGGGTTAAAAAAGGGTTGCAGATTTTTCTTTTTGACGGAAAAGGACTCGGCTTTTATAAGTGAAGTGCAGCAACAAGGAGTGGAGATGCAAGGGTATTAATGTCTTTTAAGGATCTAAAGATGTAATCTAGTGTTTCAACTCTGATTAGTTCACACTCGTGGTCGTTTAAGTTGAATTATTTCGATCTGATATCCAAGATTATGTTATTGCCAGATTAATAATGACTATTTTCAGAGCTAATATGCTTTACAGTGTTTTGTACAATATCGATTGAATTTGTACCTATTAATTTATACAAATTATTTGTGAAAAAATTCTATTTCCATGGTGTTGTTAAATTAATTCATTGTTACATTTTGGATAAATATCATAAGAACAAATTACACGAATGGTCCTTAAGGTTTTGTTTTTTTTCCTAAAGTAGTCCCTACGAAACTTTTTTCCCTCAGATGGTACCTACGGAACAAACCTTGCACACAAAAGGCCCTTGTGACTAACTTTGCTAACAAATTCTGTTAAGTTTTGTTAAATGACAAAAATACCCTTTGTTTTATGCACACAGATGGTCTCCCCCCTCTCTCTCTCTCTCTCTCTATCTCTCTCTGCCAGGTTATGATTTAGGGGTTTTCACAATTGCTTCAAAAATTTAAAAGCCAAATCTAGAAATTTGTGGGCAAACTGTGTTTTAGGCGTAGCTAAGAACTTTGCACCATGGAAAGATCATTCAGACAAAAGATCAAACACTTGGCGAGCAATAAGATCAAACATGTTTCCCTGTAGCATTTTACAAACTTGAAAGAACACCTGAAAGCATAAACATCGTTTCTACACCCATTTCCATTCTCATGCTCTTCACTTGCTTATAACAGATTAACCCCTGTACCAAAAAAGCATAATTTTGAATGGAAGATCCAATCACGATGAACAACATGAAGCAGTTTCATAAACAATCAAATGCAAATCAAAGGAGAGATGAAGAAATGCCGACTAGTCAAACCCCACCTTGCTCACCTAAATCCCTCACCGATATCTCCCAAGATTCATCAATTACATCCTCAAAGAACAGCGTCTCCTCTTCACCCTAATCAGAATCTTGATTGGTTTCGCCTGCGTCATCCTCAGACCATCGTTTACCACCATCCGATACTGGTAGAGGATATGAAATCCCACATGTGCAATGGAAGAGAAAGTTCAAGAAGAAGAAGTCATCTATCGGATCAATGCTTTTCCGGCAAAACCAGAAGGAGATGAGAGGGGACGAGAGTGGTAGCTGCTTCCTCCGGTGAGCTTCTCATCTCGTCAGTTGATAGCATCACGAACAGTAGCAGCGGGCACGAGGGTGCTGGCGGAGCTGTGGTTGCCGGTGTTCCTAGGTGTCGCCGATGGTGAAGGAATGAAACAACAGAGGAATGAAGTTGAAGATGTAAAAGACCCATATATGAGAGAGAGAGAGAGAGGACCATTTATGTGCATAAAACAAAGGGTATTTTTGTCATTTCATAAAACTTAACAGAATCTGTTAGCAAAGTTAATCACAGGGGCCTTTTGTGTGCAAGGTTTGCTCCGTAGGTACCATCTGAGGGAAAAAAGTTTCGTAAGGACTACTTTAGGGAAAAAGACAAAACCTTAAGGACCATTCGTGTAATTTGTTCTATCATCAATGCCATCGAAGTTGCAAGCTTATGTAATAATGATGAATTTTGAATAATATATATTTGAATGTTGTTAGAATTCTATTGACTGGTGTATTAAGATTAAGCTTTTACGATTAACTTAGAATTGTATTTGTAATAAGAATGTGATAATGCTTTGTATGTATTATATATAAAATATCTTAGAACTTAGAACCACTCATTCATGGGTAAATTGTTTTATATTTACTGGATTGGTGAGCGTTGGTTTGGTGGAGATAAACTACAAAACAAACATGTTTTAACTGTAAGTAACGGTATCGATTTTATCTCATTTCAAATATTATGTACGTAGTATGATGCTACCTAGGTTTTGGAAAATCTGGATTTTCATTGAGCGGGTGTTTAATGCTATTGTATAAACATGGTAACAACATTAAGGAGAAACCGTTACAGGAACCATGAGCATTGACCAAGAAGAACGCTCTGAATAGGGATGAGAGTGGGTCCAAACCAGGACCGGTAGACCCGGACCCGAAAAACCGGGGAACCGGTTAATAGGATTTTGTAAGACCGGACCGGTATATAGTAATAGGAACCGGTTCCGGGTAAGGTACCGGGTAAATTGGGTCTACAACCGGAAAACCCGTAAACATCAAAGTGGGTCGGATGGAACCGTGTAAAATGGGTCTAGAACCGGAAATCTGGAAAAACTGAATTTTTTTGGTAATTACTTAGTAGTTGAACTTTGAAAACTTTCAACTTTGATATCCCAACTTGGGAGGACTGTAAGTCATTGAATATTAAACCAAAATTGATAAAGTAGAGTCTAAAATCATGTACAAACTTTAAACTACACGTTGCAAAAATCCTCATGATAATTCGACTTCAAACAAATTAGATATGCATGTTTTAAAATTTCACAGAATACAAAAATAAAGCTGAAAAATAGAAAATCACAGCTTTGATATCCTGACTTTGGGAGAGACTATAAATCAATGAATATTAAACTAAAATGACAAAATTATAGTCTAAAATCATGTACAAACTCTAGACTACACTTTGGAGAAAACCGCATGCTATTCCGACTTCAAACAAATTAGATATGCATGTTTTAAAACTATCACAAAATACAAAAAATATGAAAAACATAAAATTTCCAGATTTGATATCCCGAATTTGAGGGACTGTAAGTTAATGAATATGAACCCAAAAATGACAAAATTATAGTCTAAAATCATGTACCAACTATAAACTACACTCTGGAAAAAACTCATGCCAATCCGACTTCAAACGAATGAGATATACATGTTTTAAACTTTTCACAGAAACCAGTTCCGACCCCTAAAACCGGTTTCGGTTCCTAACACAGTTCCGATTCTTAAACCCGGTTTACCCGTACCCGAAGGACCCGGAACCCGGATAAAGTCATTCGTTAAACCCAGGACCCAGACCGGTTTTACATATTCCGGTTCTAACGGTTCTGGTTCTGGTCCGATTCCGGTTCTGGTTCCGGTTTTCCAATTCTAAATCTCATCCCTAGCTCTGACAGTCACCAAGAGAGAGGGAGAGAGAGAGAGAGAGAGAGAGAGAGAGAGAGAAGGAAAGAAAGAAAGAAAGAAAGAGAGAGAAATGTGATGTGTTATATATCCTAAGTCTAACTATTTGCGCATGGCCTCATATGCGGAGTGGTGTCAATTGTCAACGTATCATGTTTACATGGGAATCTCCGTTTGTTCTTCGATATTATTCCCGAGGCTTACCCCGAACGACACTGACGATATTGTTGTTGTTTCACCATAAATGTTTAATTGGGCGGAGGTATAGGGATTTCAGTATGTAATGACATTCATTTTGTCTTAGGCTTGATTTCTCGTAATGTTCGTAATAAGTACATCACCCATCATTATTGTTCCTTTATGATGTGTATTTATTGAACCGGTGTGATTGTAGTTTTGAATAGCCTTATCATACTCGATCGGAATCCATGTCGGTTGCGGAGGACCGGCCTAGCTTTTGGTGATTACGGTTAACTAGGTCCAATAATATGGCGACTGTTTTTTTATATATTGAATAATTATGTCATTAAGTCACCCAGTGAATATTAGAGATACAACAGTCCAAAGTCCTAGTTTGTACTTTGATTGTCTTTTTTCGACCATGGGGTCATGGGGTCATCAGTTGTATATAGAAACGACTTCGGAGCCTAAACATTAGTCTCTCGAATCTCTAGTTGGGGAACACACATGTCATCATTGCATTGAGGATCACGATCCATGATTGTAGATATATTTACTATTTTGGAAAGGGAACTTCCCTAACGAGGGTTTCCGGGTCAGCTTTCGCGCACCGACTAATCCCGCGCTGCAAACACGAAGATTTTGCTTCATGCCCTGGAGTTACTGCAGACGAACCTCCATGGCCACAAGGGCTGAGTGATGTCAGTATTTTAACATGGGTTAATATGTTATCCACCATATTTTCCACATGTCTTACCAAGTCACCACAATCCAAGTGGTTAGATATATTTATTTTATATCTCCAGATTAATATATATTTACTATTTGTAGGAAATAATTTCTAGGTTTTTACCATTAACTTCTTCATTTATTCCCATGTCTTCATTTTCTCACCAAAATATATGACTTTTGTTATTTCTGAAACATATGTTCCTATGGCCAGAGAAAAAAATGATATGGATTATGCATTATGTACTACTAAAAAAACCTTAGATTCTATCATCAAACTTTATGAAATTAAGCCTGATTTTTTTATTCAGAAGTTCTTGACAACGACACTACACGATTAATCACAATGATCGTGCTCAAGTGGATCTATATCATTAGTTATGGTTGGTTGGGTTGGGGTTTCCTTCATTTGATTTGTTAGGAGAGATTCTTTATTGGCACTCAAATCACTTATTTTATACATATCCCAATGGATTCCATAAAGTCCTTTATTTTGTGATGTTATGCAATGTTTTTGGATATTGTTCCTAAAATTGATATATTTTGGTATCTTACTGCACAACATCTAGCAGTGATTGTGAAAAGTTTTTTACACAAGAATTTAAGAACAATTAACAAAACAAATCAACATAAGAAGTAAATAATACAGTTTAACTCATTGATCAGAAGATTTAGGATTACAACATTTGATAGCTCCAATAACAGTGTTATTAACATGTATTTAAAGACTCATAACCCTAATACAAAGCCTAACACTATATATATATATATATATATATATATATATATATATATATATATATATACTAGGTGTGAGA